AGAGAGAGAGAGAGAGAGAGAGAGAGAGAGAGAGAAAGAAAGAAAGAAAGAGAGAAAGAAAGAAAGAAAACACTCCAGTAGTAAAAGGTGCTTGCCAAGGGCAGAATATTTGCTAATGTGGACAAGAAATTGTTAGTCATACAAAAGATTTCATAGACTATGAAGTATAAGAAGAAACCAGGTATGATTCCAAAGATCTAAAGGCAGTATTGCTTTTACCCAACCTGTCTTTGCTCCAACAAAACAGGCACCAATACAAATCTTAATGCTGCTTAAGAAATAATGAACTCAGATGATTCTCTCACTTTTACACATAGTACAAAGAAATAATAAAACATGATCTCCACTCAAAGAGAATCTATAGTCAAGTAGAAATATTGAACTAATCCCATTAACAACTTAATTAAAGGCTGAAAGTTGACATTTGGTTTTTAAGCACAATAATTCAAAGATTATCAGTGTGGGACTTATCAAGTTGTTTTACATTTAAAATTTTGTAATGAGTATTGTTCTCCAAACTCTAGCCAAAGTAACTCTATCTTGTAATGGACAATCTACCCCCACCCCAATACATACACCATTTAGCTGCCCAGGTGCCTCTCCATCAGTTGCTGAGGCTGTGTGCCTGACTTTGGGTCCACAAAGTCATTCACCACTGCAGCCAGACAGTGGTTGTTTTACCAAAACCAACGAAGTTCTCAATAAAGACAGGATAGAACACAGCACACACAACTTTACTCAAGGATCCTTCTTGCATTTGATGCTGATTTTGCCATTTTAATTAGAGCCCTATAAAACCAGTATCTTAGCAAAGGAGAATTGGTAGTTTCAATATTGCTGCAGTAAGTAAACCCTAATAAATTCATTTACTTGCCTAGTTGGACTTATCCAAGTCATTCTTTGCATTGACCATGCCATCCCAAGTCAGAGACAGACATTTCTTTTACATCTCTTCAGGAAATTCACACAAAAATGTGGATGATGATGATGATGATAAAACTATAAAACATCATTTAAAATCTACCTTATATA